TCTAAGTTGTAGACCCCTAAGTCCCAGAGCCTCTCCTTCGTCTTGCGATTCCCGCCCCTCTTTCTACAGAAAACCACCGTCTTGAGTGCGTGACTCGGGCACGCTTCTGTGTGTTCTCTTTCTGTTTTCTGTGGTGCTTGTGGCATGGAATTTTTCGACAGTAAAACTAATGAATACATTTCGCATTTCGACGATTTCGCCCGGCTGATAATCAACTTGTGAAATTCCCCGAGGCGCGTTTCCATTTTGTCACCTTCTTTTAATTAGGGTTTGATTTTTTTTGTTTGTGGATAATTTTTGCAAAATATTTCGTTCAAAAATTGTCAAAATTTAATACAATTAAAGGAGCTAATTGTTTTCTATTGATTCATTAATAGATCGTGCAAATTATTGGGACGAAGCGGTATGCCATCACGATATGTCTCAATTGGTTTCAAAAAAATAATCTTTTATTCGTACAAGAGTATCAGAGTAGTATACGACTAATATAAGACTAATAACGACCAATTATATATGTACATATGAATTTGTAAGTGTAAGAAAAATAACCACGATTAAGTGAATCATCATTCATCAGTAAGTAAACAAATTGAGTAGATACTGAATGGATTACCCCAATAAAACATCTAAAAACATCCCCATGATGAAATAGACTCCAAATCACACGAATAAACTACACCAATAATTTCAAAAAAAAAAAAGCAAACAGCATGATTGACTCGCGAGCATTCATTAACTCTGAATCTGAAATGTTTATAAACAAATTATAAATAATCTGCCAGATCTAATAATAAACCCAATTTGCAATTCCATTTGCTGTTCGAGAGTTGCCATAGCCCATCGGAAGCATCGAAACTTCAATGAGTCCCTCTCCCATATTTCAGAGTCTTTCGATAGTTTTGCATTCTTGAAAACCCCCGTATTCAAATCCGAGCAGTGCTGCTGCTGCTTGTGTGCTGTCTATTGTTTAAGTTATTAACAAATACAAACAACCACTTAGCTTTGAAAATGATTTCAAGCATTTGGTTTGTCTAAAAATACACATCAAAGCGTTCGACGGGCGCTACGTGTACGAGTGTACGAGTGTACATAGAGTACAACGATACGATACGCTAAAGAGTGGCCAAAAATAAATATTGAGAGGTCTATTTATAAAGTCGCGAAAGCAAAAGCCGCGTATCCGTTCCGTTCCTCAATTGCACACAAATTGAAGTTTCTACATATACATATATACGAATCGTAGCTGTAATGTTAATTGGCATCGCTTGACCGCATCGCGTTCGTCGTCTTGGAGTGGAGTCTAGACTTGAGACCAATCTGTCTTCTGTCTCTATACCTCGTAACTCGTGGTGATCCCATGGAATACGCTGGGGTATATTGTATTTGGGAGGGAAAATGTAACAATCAGATCAGTAAAGAATATGCTGGCTTTGCCGCTGCTTTACATTAACATTATTATAAATAGTAATTACAACTTTATATAGATTTTCTGATCTCTTTTTTGGTACAATTAAAAGATTAACTGTCAATTAACCAAAAATAATAATTTCTACAGCCAGAACAATAATAACTTTGATTTTCTCCACTAATTTCCTCTTACTGCAAGACAAGTAAAAGGTATCCCCTAGTCCTAATATATGAAAACTGAAAAATTCTAACACAATTTCACAATTAGATCTCTCGAGTATTTCCCTTTCGACTTCAATGGACCCGCTTCTTTGCAGTATTTTACCATTGGCATAAATTGAATTTCGTAATTAAAGATACTGTATCCGAATGCTGATTGAGATACTGCATATGTATCTTTCGAAAGGTTTATGTCCGATTTGTGATACTTGAGAATTTGCATTTTACTTATTAATTATGCAAGCGGCAATGACAGATATTTTAACGATTTGCGAACTCAATTGAGCAACAACAAAAATACATACAACAAAAGTAACAGTAATTGTCGCATTTGCAGTTCATAAATCAAGTAGCGAGCGAGTACGAGAGTATCTGACAGATACAAATAGCGTATGGGCCGCGTAGTTTAATGATGACGACGTCGTTTATGTTCCCATTTACACTCCACTCCACTCATCAATTGCGTAGTTTTACAGTCGCCGCCACACACAAAAGAGAGCGGCACAAATCATTATCGATAGTCGTGTGTGGATGCACATTTTAACGTTTAATCAGTAGCTGGTGGGCGGGCGGATAGGAGCAGGGGCATAGTCTGGAGAGGGGCAGCCCATAACACCTCACCTCATCCAAAAAAGTACGCAGTTTCTGCCGCTTTGGTGTGTCTAAATATAGCCACTAGTAAAGCAATTAGCAAATCGAATGCGTAATTCCTTAAGGCGCATATTCCACACGACCTTTGGATGCATGCATATGGCAGTAGAGGAACTATACTGATCTGTAAATATGTAGTTATAATTAAAACATGTTTGTTTAATGATCAAAACAATGTACAGAAATGTTTACACTCGATTTGTATGACAAGTGTAGACTTTTGGCATACAAAAATAGTTAAGAGTTCACTTGGGATCGTAGAAATCACATAATCATTGAATGTTATAACGAATGTACACATATAGAATTTCTACTGATTGTTTAATGTAATATGGAAAAAGTCATGAATGATTTTAATATTTTTAGAAGGCTTTCTTTTCTTCCTAGAAATTCCAAAATAAATTCCATAGAATTCTAAATTTAACAATCAATAACAACAGAAATTTGAATCTAATATCCTAATACATTTTACACGTTTTTCGCACATCTGTTTTCATCTGTTTACCAAAGTGCACGCGTGCGGGTAACGCAATTTCCCCCAACCCACCAATCTCCCCGCATTTCCTGCAACATTCCCACATGCCTGTCAATGCCCCCCCATTGATAGTTCCTTCCTCTCTATCTGTATCTTTTCAGTATGCTCAAGTGATTTAGGTTGTTAATTAGTTAAAAAATAATTAAGCAAATGCTAATATTTGCCAATCGATTGGGAAAATGCTTTGAAAATATTTGCAAATATCATTATTTTATTGATTTGAATGCCACTAAGAGTGTATTTTTCTGGATGGGCATTCATTGGTATTATTGCATTGGCTTAGGTGCAAAACGCATATTCCTAATGTTCCTAATGCGCATTTTTGTGCGCCAGGGGCGCCACAGCCAAAAGATTAGACAAAAGCTAATGTCTTTTCATACAGAAATACACATATATACAACAACTTACTTAGATCTTACATATATAATATATGTATATGGGTCAGCAGTGGCGATAAGGAGGTCCCGCCGCCACATGTGAGTACTCACTGAGCCTCACGTGAATGCGATTTCTCAATGATTTACGAGCAACGGTACTACTGAAAGTGCTGATAATGTCTGCTGGATAATGTCTCCTGTTCAACGGATAGCCATAGCCCCGTCAGGGCAGGGAAACATCTGTATGTATCTTCTATATGTATATCTCATGAAAATTCAATTTGCATAAGTAGAAAACGTGCATAAATCAAGCGCCAATTGCAAATTGTGGGAACATTGAGAGCAAACGAACGAGCAAACGAGCGAGTCTCTCTGCTGCAACTGCAAATCTTAGCAGTTGATCAATTTTAATGGCCAAATGCCACTGGAATTACACGCGGTGCTCGAGGGTCGAGTGTCGAGTGTCGAATGGATGGTTCGCAGTACAGGGCCATAACTGGGGCAGAGGCAGGCACCTGGCAAAGTGCTGCAATATTCCAACTGCAAATAAACATAAAGAGTTCAGAGACCACACACACGCGAGTCCCACAAAGACTGGGGACAGTGGTTCGTATTGGTGCTAAAAAAAATATAAAAGACTGAGATTATCATAGGGAAAGACTTAAAGAATATCGCGAAGTATTAACCAAAAAGCAATGGTGGATGTGAAATTTCAAGAATGTTCTACAAGTTTTGAGACCTTTACAGGGAATGTGAATGAAATAATGCTGCAAAAATACTTGAAATATACATTAAATCCTTAAGATTTTTGCAGGAGAAAATAATCTTTCATTGAACTATTTAATTTAATCAGTAATCTCCTGTAATCCACAAGTTTTTCTATAATGCTAATTAATAAAATTTTCCATGTCAATGGAAAAAATTTGTGTTTTCATTTCAATTGGGATCTTTGATCAGCCTTTTCTTTTTGTGTTTCTGCCCCACTGTACCACGTACGTAATGCACGAAATGTTTATCAGTGAGCGGCAGCGATTATATTGGCAATTATATCGCCACATTGGCGCCTCGCACGTGACTCTTTTCAAGTTCATTCGAAGCAGAGAGAGAGGGGTGCAAGTGGCAGGCAGAGGTGCAGAAGCACAGTCAATGTTGGCATAATCACTCCAAGAGACAGCTGACAGTAAAAAAAATCTTATCTAAGGCGCGCGGGACGCCAGGCAGGAGACGGGGACAGGTGCATGAGCCATGGCTCATGTCAAGGACATCGTCGCTTTTTGCAGGCAAAGTTCTCTGGTCTCTCAAGTTCAAACGCAGAAGGGGGTTGGTACCAGGGGTCACGTGGGGATTTTGTGGCAAGTTATGGGACGAGTTATACAAGAGACGGGACTTTTCTTATGGAAAGAACTTGTAGGTCAAGCGGAGGAAAATCCTTCAGATATTTAAATATTATGGATAAATGGTTCATAAATGGAATTAATTAATACATTCCCTTCAAATGGAATCTTTAAAAAATTAACCTAAATTTTCCTTTAAATCTCTTAAAAATTCCCTTAACAAATTTCCAGCAAATCTCTTCCAAAGAGAATCCCACAATCCACAGAAGCGTAGACAAACCCTACACCCAACCAGTATTTGCGCTCATAAAAATACCGCCGCATTTTCGTTACGCCAAAAAAAAAAACAACCTACACCCCCCTGCCTGCTACACACTACCACCTCCACCACTCCCTAGTGTAAACAATCAGGCATTCGATGATTGTGCAAAAATAATACAACGACCACTCCGATGAATTTTTCCCTCTTTATATTTCTACTTTTTTTTTTTGTTGTTGTTCATTTTTTTATTTATTATTTGCTATATTTCACAATATTGCGGGTTCTAGTACTGCTGGTGCGTCGGTGAACTGTGGGGTGGAGGGGGGAGACCGGTGTTTGCCATATTTTTATTTATTTATTGATCACTTGATTTATGTGGAAATTCTGTTGATATTTTTAACATTTGCTGATGAGTTTTCTATTTATGTTGCTGCCTTGAAACCGCTGCCGTAGCGACTGTCTGTAGATACAATCGATAGATACATTTTGAAGGTGTATTCCAGTATTTCATAAAAATGGCATTAAATGGAATTTAAGCTGCCAAAAGTGCGGCATTTGAAGTGCGCCGATTCGGGGAATCGTGAGCTGTACGTTCCATCAGTGGGGCAGCAGTGGTACGACGCGACGACTCCACGCAATTCCAAATCAATTATGACACTGAGCCTCCAATCTTTCTCTTTCCTTCGTAAAAAAAAACTGGCGCCACTCCGATTGTGTGTGAGTGTGAAAAGGGGCTATGAGTGCCGCTAAATGTGAATAGGAGAACGAGTGCCTTTGAATGTGAGTGTAAGTACGAGTGCCACAGATTATGAGTGCCGCAGGGAGTCAAGTGTGTTTGGGGCAAGTGCGACGTACAAGTGCGTGCCCTAAACAAACAGCAAAAGCCAAATAGTATTTCAAACGGAAGTGCCGCCGCCTCTAGCGTCGGCCCTTGGCACCACCACCTCCAGCTCCTCCCTTGGCACCAGCTCCAGCTCCGGCACCCGCTCCAGCTCCTACACCCGCATCCATGCCCACGCCTGCGTCTGCCGCTCCAGCGCCTTGGGCTGCGACTTGTCCGCCAGCTCCAACGGCCATGGCCATGCCCGCCTGAGCCGCCTCGGCAGGCCCTTGAGCTGCAGCAATGCTCTAATTTTTGAGGGAAATATCATTAGAATATGATAGACTTGAGATTTAGTGTGAGGTTTTCCCCAAAGAGAACGAGCTGGAAACGGGTTTTTGGTAGGTTCTAAGACTTATTTTTTTACTCTGACATTCTAAGAGTTCAGCTATAGCAGAAATGTCCTTAAATTTGAAGAGAAAATCGATTAATTCCCAACGAAATTTTAGCAAATTTCAATAATTTTTTGGGAATTCGATTACAAATCGAAGAAGTTTAATTCCGTTTATTCCGGTTGGTAAAACTCTAGGGCCCACTAAAAAACTCTCACCATTAGCAGAGCCAGCGCGATCCAAGTAAGAACTGGAACTTTCATATCGAAAACAGCAGCTTGCAACGTGTTGGAAGTTGAAACAGAAACTATAGATCATTCAAAGTGATCGTTAGGGCTTTATATAGTAAACTTTATGGCATGTTTTGGAGCCGAAAATATTTATGGCTTTAATCCAAACAAAAATCTTGAGGGCATCAGCAGCATTCCATGTAATATGTTTCCCCTTGAGGGGCTGATAGGCATCTCGGTGTGTGTGCTTCGTGCATGCGACTGAACTGACTTAGTGTAGAATTTTTTGTATAATAAAAATATTAATAATAAATTTTATTGTTGACAATCGTTTAATTGCTCCCGTGCCCTGTGCATGTTTTTGGCGTGCGTCTATTAATAAATAACTAATTAACTAACGAAACGAAGCAACAACCAGTTCCGTCGATGAGTAGTGCTACGGAATGATGACATTGTAGTTATAGTGCGCCACCGATTTCTGTTGCTGTTGCTGTCGCTGTTGCTTCTATTCATATTGTGAAATTTATTAAGTAATTGTGCAAAGTACAAGGTCGAGGGGGAAAAACAAAAGCAAAATCAAAATCAAAAGCCCACGCCAAATCGAAAAGAAAAGTGAAACTCATTTTACAAGAATAGTTCTGCCATATCTTATCGGAAAGACCAACCAGCACCAGTAGAACAGGTTCCCTGCTGTAATATAAATTGTATACTATCAGGAATTGAAATTGTATTAGAACGGATTATTCAGAGATCAGATATTGATGTTCGTTTTGGATTTTAAGGAATTATTTGGACCATTAATTCCATCGATTATTTCGTAGAACTAATCTATAACGGCGTTTAAGATTAAATTAAACATTAAAGAGATTCTCCTGCTAGAATTCCCATAATTATTATATTTATTGTTGAAATTATTTATTACTGCTGCATTTTCCTGGCAACACTGCAACTCCTATGGCACTTTTTTCCCCTCGCTCATTCCACCGTCATTGCGGGGATATGGCAACACTGATAAACAAAACAATTACATTAAACAATCGTCATTACACACGGAGCACACGATGCAACTGCAAATTCAATGATTTTTAGAGTTAATTTGTTTATTTTTCGTGTGATTGGGGGGTGATAGGTGGGTTCAAGGGCTGCATCTCTGGCCATCATTAAAACTTAAACAAAAAATAAATAAATAAAAATAAGCCGCATGGCAATTTTCGCAATGCAACTGCAACAAAAGAGCAACAGAGGCGGAAAACGAAGCTAAAGATACACTATCAGATCTATCTAAAGGATTTACTCCACCGATTTGGCTCCAATGTTCACTAGAAGTATGAACTTTATGAACTCAGTATACAGTATATCAGTATACCTAATTTGAATAAATTTCAATTATATTGTGACAATATTATTCAAAAATGTTCGTTGGAATATTTTTGTTAACCCATGAGATATGGATTTAGCAATGTATCCTGCCCAAATCGTCTGACCTCCTCCGAAAGTGTATATGAAACCGCGAAACACACACCAGACAGCGTCGCAAAATAAATCTATATAAACAATAATATATACTATAATATGAACATCGTTTGTCATTGTTATTGGGGCCTCCACCCCCTGCCGTGTGGGTGGCCGCAGTAATGGGGCAATAATCACCGATTATCACGTATCTCAATCCATACAAATAATATAATAATAGCAGAGATAGACAGGGAGGACAAGTGCATGCTGTGGCATCATTAAAAATTAAATCAAAATTAAATGTTCATCAAATGCAATAAAAATCAGATGCATGTATATGTAAATGCCTGCGTGTGTGCATGGAAGGTTTGTTTTTTTTTCCTGGTTTTTCTATGTGTACATATTTGTATTTATTTTAGTATATATTTTTTCTACTATTCGTCGGGGAGTCCCATTTTCCGAATGAAGCAAACAAGTTTATGGTTTTGTTTTGGTGAACAAAAAAGATCATAAATCGGAATTTTTTGGAGCCGAAAACACATTATTGTGAATTTATAATAGTTGCGTGCACGGGAAACCATTTAAGGATTGCATTAAACAGATCTATAGATGGAATTATTACACGGAAACCCCGAGCAATTTCATATATGGATAGGACTTACTAGAAAAAGGTAGGAGATATTTCGCTGTTATGATCTTTAATGACATAATATTATTGATCATGCGCTTGAATATTGAATATTTAATTCAACAATATTTGCTATATAAAACAAATAAATCTTTAGATCTTGACCTTACCTGCATTATAGAATCAGGTTTCTTATCAGGTCTTATGTGCTATTAAATAATAAAAAATATAGAATCATATTAGTCACAAATCAAAAGCTCATTCAAATTACTCATTCCCTGCTGTCCGTTACCCTGTCGCAAAGATACAGCTACATGGGGGCTGCTATGCCGCCACCTCATATCTGGCGGCATATCATGCTTATTTCGCGGTTTATTTTTTCTGAGAATATTTGACGCGTACGTGTGACATACATATTTTCTGGAGGCGCCGCCGATAAGGCACTTCAGACGCTCCACAACAATAACAATACGCGGCAATACAAACAAAACAACAAAAAAAACCAAATATATAAAAAAACAGCAACAACAATTTGCAAGAAACAACAATCCCACAGATATAGATTATACACAAAACTGACAGTTGTCGTAGGTATACGGGTTGGTTGTCGCCCGTCGCCACTTTGGCATTCAAGGCATCGTCGTTGTCTGTCGTCTGTCCCTGTCGGCTGTCGTTGTTCATGGAAATTGTAAGTCCCCGCCAAAGTATTTGCCTTCGGAGTAAAGTCTGGCTGTCTGTCCGTCTGTCTCGTCAACGCAATCTTCGATGTAAATAATTACAACGAATTCGAATGGAACGCAAATTGTGACTAATATTCGTAGTCGTAAAACCCGATAGCGCTTCAATTGAAGGTTAATTTCTGGCGGGGGCTCCCACTGTGACTGGGGTTTTTGCTGCCTTCCTTGAGTGAATTTCGTAAATGCAAAAATGCTTTACCTTGTATTAATATGCATACATACATGTGTACATACATATGTATGTATGTCAGCAATGTGGTTTCTCTCTTCCTTTTCTGCCATGATGATGATATTTGCTCTCATTATGTCTATTTCATTCTTACTTCACCAAATGTACGGTAAATGTCGGTCCTATTAGAAGAGAGGTGAGGAATAGCCACGGAATTGGATCGTCACCTTATACAAACATACCATCAGTAGAAGCTAATATTTGCTCTCTCCCCCTATCCGTCTTCCGTGACCACAATCGTAGTTCAATTGTGCTATCTCTTTCTGTCCCTCCAACCCTTGCTGGCTTTCGCTCTCTTTAAGGTTTGCCCACTCTTCCTTGGGGATATTTGTGTGGGATGGCCAATTGGATGATAATTGGCAATCGATATTTATGATTTATGCGATGAATGGTCTGCGACCATGGCACTGGCCCATCGCTATGAAGGTCGGCGCCTTCCTACGTCCAGACGGATAATTAAAGTTTCTGCTGCTTTGTACCCCAATCCCTTTTCCAGTTGTTGTCCCTTATCCATGTCGCCTCTGCTAGTCCCAGTTCCAGTTCAATGTCACTTCCCCTTTCCGCCTCTGCTAGTCGCAGTCAATGTCTCTTTTCCGCCTCTGCCATTCCCTGTCCCTTTTCATCCTCTACAAACTATGGCTTACTTGGATTGTGGCCCATCATCATCATCAACAGAACAGCAGCAGCAGCTTTTGTGGTGGGCGCATTAATAGACCCTTCCAAAGACTGGTAGAGGAGACGACGAGCTGATGCAAGAGAAAGTATGAGGAGAACATTAAAATGTGCAGTTTGTGTTTATAAAGCGTAAAATGAAATTATCATCGTACCATATTCAATTATTCCGACTAATGGGAAGAGAGCGGGGGAGCCGTTCATCTGCTCGGCTTATAATGAAGTGCCGGCTGCTTTTGCAGTCCATCCATCTCCTTCTCCTTCACTCCGGACAGCCAATGTAGGCACGTGCGAGGGAGACCGTGACAACGATGAGCAAAGGACCAGTTACTCTCCAAAGGACAAACTCTCCACAACAGCAGATGGAGACTTCTGGTGTAGGCGTCCGGTACTCTCCACTATAAAAACGCATGAGGCAGCTACAGCTTCTATCTCTCCACTCGACGCACGCGGGTAGGAGCTACTCTCCACTATTTTACAACGATTCGCGCGGCAAAACGAAAAAAGACGAAACACACGCGTAGCAACAGAGGATCAAGTGCAGGGCTGGAGCAGACGTGCGCGGGGAAAACTAGAAACACGCGCGTGGCTGCAACACAAAGGAGAACGCGCGTGGTTAAAGAACTATGGATTCCAAGCGGGGCGGGGGCGGGACCAAGAAAATGCGCGCGTGGCTGCTGCTGCTGGGAAAACACCAAGGGAGCGCCCAGGGCTGAGTGTACATTGACCTACGAATCCCAGTGGAGCCTGCGTGCACTGCCCTCCACAAGTCGAAGGACGGCCAGCTGCCTGGCGGATGCCTTTTGGGTTCGCTAGTACCCTGGCCGCGTGCAAAAATCCATGAGCCAATAATACAACACAAAAATCAACGCTACTGACAGCGTGAAGGGTATGTAGTTGAAACACCCAACAACCACCCACAAATCCATTTTATAATACGAAATACGATTAAAGCCAACGCTAATAAACACTATTTAACACTTTTGCAGAAATTTTATGGACGGATTGCACGCAAAAACTCAGATTAAAAACGCGTCGGGACGAAGCTGCGCAAGGTGCTTAGAAAATGGCAGGTATCGATATCCCGCCCCTGTACGATAGGTTGGTCACGATGCGCCTAAGTGTGCGATAGCCGATTACATCAAACTATCGATTTTGAATTTGAATTCAAATTTGAATGTGGACCAAAGATTTCCAATGGGCATGCAAAATAATTAATATTAACTGCAAAATTGCTGCCAAATATGCCGAATCAACAGCTTTAGTTTCTAGTTTCTGTTTGTGTTGCTTGCACTTCAATGCCGCAAACGTTGCGAATTCCACATAAACCGTGCCGCTGCGCCGTTGCC